CCGCCGGCGGTGGGAAGCCGGAGGGTAATGAGAAGTGCATTATTTGCAAGAAGAATTCTCGGGAGGTCGTTTTCATCCACGATTCCAGCGTCCACCGCTGCGTGTGCCGCACCTGCGCGGCACCCATCAAGATCGGCGCCCCGTGCCCGCTGTGCAACGCACCCGTCGCTGCAATCCTGCGAGTCTACTCGGCCGCCGGCTGATGACGCTGCTCGCCCTTGCGCCCGCTCCTGCTCGCCGGGCCGCGGCGCTGAGCACAGCGGTGGTGGGTGTGTTGCAAGCAGCGTGTCTGGGACGGGGAGTGTGCGCTGCGGTCTGCGAGCTGGCGCCCTCGCTGTCAAGGATTTGTCAGGCTAGGGCGGCGCAGTCGATTCCGCGCCGCCACCGAATTTTGGCAAACCACGCACCATCACGCGCATCCTCGGATGCATATGAAAGAGGAGAGATGCGCGTCGCACGTGGCGGCGCCCTGAGTCTGGGCCGGCGCCGCCTGCACATCTTTTGAAGAGGGACAGCCGAGAGGGGGCCTCGCGCCATGCGAGATCCCGCTTTATTGCTTGCGCCTCTTCCTCTGCCGCGTGATCCGCTTGTGCAGGGCTGACCTCACCGGCCCCGGGCTTTGCACAGGATGCGCGCCCCTTCCTGTGCCCGCGCGCATTGCAGCAATCGGCATGTGCACCTGCACGGCAGATGCACTGCGCCGCAAACCAAGCACTACGTAGGGACCCTTCTGCCTTTTGCGCCTTGTTTGTGGGCATCAACTTTGAAACACACACTGCTTTTCGCTGGGAACCACCTGGCAACCCAAGCGAGCCCGCGACGCGTCTTCAGCCGCGTGGCGCGACGCGCTCAGGGTCCGACAGCATTGGCCTGCCGCGGCTTCCGCCGCCTTGCGCGTGTGTGTGCGCGCACGCGCGCGTGTGTGTGTGTGCATGCATGTATGCGTTTGTGTGCATGTGTGTGTGTGTGTGTGTGTGTATGTGCGTGTGTGTGCTTGGGCAACCTATTTGCACACCACAACAGGCACGTGTCGCCGCTCGACTCGCGAGCGAGCGATCGCGACCAAACCCGCGGCGAACCAACCCTCGAATGCCGCCGGCCGTGCGCAAGGAGCGCCGCCCTATTTGTACACCCACCCGCCATGCCTGCCAAACAAGTGGCGGCGCACGACTTCCGCACCCACCGGCTCGATTGGCGCAAGTGTTTGGGCCTGCGAATGGCGCTTGCGAGGGTTGAGCGCGTCACACGCTGGCGGAACTCATGGCTACTCCCTGACGCTCTTTTGCAACACCTTTGTTGCAACGACGCATATAAAGCTTCGCTTATTTCTCGGCAGAGCGCCCCCCCGGCTGCGCTCCCGCGCGCGCCGCCGGCAACGGCCGCGGTGCGCCCCGCAGCGCGCGCAACCTGCGCGCCGCGCCGCCGCCTGTTCCCCTGAGGACCGGGCCGCCCATTCGTCCCGGCTTTCGTGTTGGCTTCCCGCCTGCGGTTGACCGACCACCTTTAGGTCGTTCAACCCTCAGGCCTACTTTCGAGTTGTTCCCCCACCCTAATTGCGGTGCGCCCCCCTCCCGCCTCAAGAGCAAGGGGATAGGTCGGTCCTCTGTCCGCGCGCGCCTTGCACGCCGCGTCGGGGCCGGCGCCCTCTCGTGCGTGTGTGGTGCAGTCAATCTGGCTGCCGCTCAAATCATGCTTGCTCTCTTATTTCTGAACTTGCAGGGGACCTCGGACCCACGCGTGATTTTTTGAGCATCAATGCGTGCATCTGCCGCGGTTGCTACAGGGTGCTTAAAGGATCACACACACGCACACACACATATGACGCATCGAAAAAAACACAAAAAGCACTTTAATATACCATTTTACACACAACATTGCGGCCATGCTGATAAGCACGTACACGAGCACCTTTTGGACAATTGAATTCAGTATACTGGCACGCAGGCACAACCTTTCAATGGCTTGGCGTCCCAGCCAGGTACTCAATGCGGGCTCGCCACGCTGAGGAGATGCTTCCGGCAAGCCCTGGCTTTTTCACGCAGGGCGGTTTCTTCCATCTTCCAGGGACGGCGTCGGTCCCACTTCATTGCTGCACTGCACCGTTGTTCGCGCCAAAACCCGGCATCGCTGGCTCCAAGCTGTAAATTGCACACCACAAAGGTTCGGTCTGCCCTGCAGCTACCGTATGCACCCATCAAGGGGTTTTCGGCGAAACACAGCCGCACGGGCAGGCGGCAGTGCGAGAGCGGGCGGCCTGCGGCACCCATTTGTTCAATCAAGTAGCAGGCGGCAGGTTGAAGTGGCCCCTCCAGCCCTCCTCAACACACCTCTCCACCAGCGCCGGCCCCCAGACATCCGATGCGACCACAAGGCCGGCCTGCACCTTGCGCGCATCGACGGCCCAACCCTCGGCAAAGCGTGCCCCCGCCCGCGCAGGCTTCGAGCCGCCCTCGCACACAGCCGCCAGCGCCGTGCCGCCTGAGGCATGCGCAAGTACACCAGTTAGCCACGAGCCTCCCGGTGGTCCCGACCACCGCCCTCCTCCCGCCTGCTGCTGCTGCTGCTGCTGCTGCCGCCGCATGAGCGAGGACGTGCCCTGGCCGCCGTCGCCGCCGCCGCCGCTTCCCAAGCCCCGCCGCGGCGGCGGCTCGCAGCTGCCGGCAGCGCCCGGCGGCGTCGGCAGGCCTGCCGCCGCGAGGGCGGCCCGCTGGCCTGGCATGACCTGAGAGCAGGCGTGGCCCGACAGTTGGTGTGGCCGACGCTTCGCAGGGCAAAGTGAAAGCTTGAACGTGTGTGGCTGGCAGGCACCCAGGGGCGCATCAAAAGCCCGGCTGCGGACTTGATTGGTGTTGGCTGCCCACCACAACACTCAGCTCATTTGCTGCCTGCACACTCGCACAGAAAACCACACACACACACACTCTCTCTCTCTCTCTCTCTCTCTCTCTCTCTCTCTCTCTCTCTCTCTCTCTCTCTCTCTCTCTTTCTCTCTCTCTCTCCCTCTCTCTCTCACATGCGCTCACGTGCATGTGCGCGCACGCGTCAAACCAATACGGCATCTCCCCAGCCTGCCCCCTCCCTCACCAGGCCAGCCGCTAGTTCCTCATCCACCGGCCCAAAGACGCGCCCCCCCTCCTCCCTCTCCTGTCGAGTCACTGCCTGCCCATTGAAACACGAGATCCAAGGCAGCCTGCCAGACAAACATGGCAGCCGAGGTTGGGTATGGTTTGTGTGGGATCAGCACATTGCGTGCACAAGCATCCAGCCAAAAGAAAGGCGTGCAGGCATTCTTGGGGGGCGGCACTGAGCTGAGTTTGCGGCCAGCCCCGGCCTGCCTTGCGCCCATGCGCTGGCAGCCGCACCCACCTGTGCGCCACGTACGGCCGCAGGAGCGCGCAGCGATTGACCGGGCTGCCGCCGACCTCGAGCTCGCGCAGCCGCGGCAGCCGCAGCAGCGTGTCGAGCGCCGGCAGCGACGCGACGCGGGTGCGGTGCAGCGCCAGGCGCGTAAGCCGCTGGAGTGCCTCGAGCGCGGGCATGGCGGCGACGACCTGGGACGGCGGTGGAAGGCGGGTGGCAGCCGCGCGGTGTACGAGCTTTTGGTGCGCGATGTCAAGCCAGAGTTTGTGCCGAGGGAGACGAGGGCGTGCGGCGTTCGTCGCAATGCACAGACGCGCAATCGACTCGCGACCCAGACCCAGCAGCCGGCGCGCCTCGCCAAGTCAGCACGATCGGCAGGGGGTGCGTGGGCCGCGTTTGCGGACGCGCGCAGCCGGCGCAGCGATTGCGACAACGGCGCGCGGTGCGCTCAAAGGGCGGCTCGGAGTCCAGCCCGGCTCTTGCTCCCGCGGGACGCTATAACAATCCAAATCCTGCAAGTGCTAATTCAGATCCTTGCTCACGTGGCGGAAGTCGACGTCGCTCAGAGTGACCTCGCACACCGCTGCGTACGATGGCGACCGCAGCGCCTGCAGCGCGCCGCCGCCCGCCAGCGCCAGCGCGCGGCCGTCAAAAGCGACGCCGGGGGCGGGCCGCCCGGCGGGGCGGCGCGCGGCAGCGGCCGCGTCCCTGCAGGGGGGGCGGGGGCGAGCGGGTCCCTCACAGGCGCGTGTTGCGGTCAAACAGGATAAGCGGCGGTCAAACCTCGGGACGTTCCTGTTTCCAAACGGCACAGCGACCTGTCGTGTGGTAGGTCACTCTTATAGAATATCGAAAAACCTCAGAATGACCCGCAGTTGGGCTTTTGTATCAGTGGGCAGCCGATTCACAACCCAATCCCTGCAATTGGGCAGTCGGTTCAATCTCGACCAGCCGCACCTGGACGCCAGCATGAGGCCCTCCGAATGCAGGTAGCTTCCCTCCAGCTCCTTCTGACTGATCGGCTCCCAGTCCGGGCTGCCAGTCGCCCGTCTTGACGCCTGGACAGCCCCCGCATCCTTTGGCTTGTGGGAGCCGCTGCCGTCCCCGGCACCGCCGCCGCCCCCTGACCCCGCGCGCAGCTGCTGGTTGCACGGAAGCTGCCCCTCTTCCCCGCCGCCCCCGCGCCGCTCGCCGCGCCGCGCCCACGCCCTCACCGCCCCCAGGAAATCCTCCTCTCCGCGCCCCTGGAACCGCGCCCCGCCGTCGCAGCCAGCCGCTGCGCCACCGCGCTCGCCGTTGGCCTCTGTCGTCCCCCCTCCAGAGGCAGGCGCGCGGCAGCCGCCCTCCTCTGCAGATCGCGGAGAGTCCCGTGAGTCATCACCTGCTGACCGCAGGGATTCCCGTGGGTCGTCATCCGCGCTTGCAGCTGACACGGTGGACTCGCCCCCGGCGGCCCAGGCGCCCCCCTCCCGGTCCCAAGGCGGTGGCCGGGCGGTCTCTCCATCAAACAGATCAACATCCAGCTGCGGCGTAAGCTGCGGCCCCAGCGACGGCGCGTCTGGCAGCGGGCCGCCCGCGGCGGCCGGCGGGAACGCGAAGGACCGCTCGTATCGCGGCTGCTCGTCTCCCTCTGACCGCGCCGCCGCCGCCGCCGCTGCACGACGCTCGCGTGCTGCTGCTTCCGCCAAGCTGTTGCCTGACAGCGCGTCAGCTGTACCCGCAGCCAACGGCAGGGGTGCGCCGTCAGCCATGCAGCCCCCCTTCATCCCCCACACGGCTTCTGCCGCAGCTGCACACTCTGCCAAGCAGCAGGCGCCGCTCCCGCCCGTCGGTCCAGGTGCGGCCGGCGGCCCTGACCTAAAGGCGCACGCTTGGTGCTGCTGCTGCGGCAGGCCGCGTGCGCACTGAAGCTCGCGCCTGCGGGCCGCATGCAGCATCATGACCCGCTCTTCGGGTGTCACCTGCAATCAAGTAATGAAGCCCGTCATGGGTCGTCGTGTGCACGCAAGCAGGCCACGTGGGCCGCCAATGGTTGGCCCTGTGTACATCTGCTTACGATGGCTGTCATGAATTTCAGCTGCTGCATCGTGCTGCCGAGTGCAACGTCTGCCGACAGCTCAACGCAGCCTCAAACTGATGCCTCAAACGCATGCTCAATCTCAAGCCCATGGTTCGGCATGCGGTCAAGGCATGCGCCCGTGCAGCGGAGGGAGGCGTGCGCGACGCAAGGCGGCGCTTGCTATTGAGCAAGGAGAAGGGTCCAAGCGGGGAGGGGGTTAAACGGGGCGCAGGGTCTCAGCGCACTCACCGGATCACAATCCAGGGCCCGCAGCGCCAAAGGGCAGTGCACCAGCGCCGCCGGGCGGTACGTGTCCCCGGGCGCCAGCGCCGCCGCCGCAGTGAACGGGTTGCCGGCCAGCGACAGCCCCTTGAGCGCCGCCAGCGCCCCGAGCGGCGCGCAGGCCGCCGCGGCCGTCGGGAACGCGCAGCGCGCGAGCGACAGGCGCCGCAGGCCCGCTGGCAGAGCGCACCCGCGCGCTGCCGCCGAGCCCGCCCCGGCCGCCTCGCGGCTGACGTCATCGCCGTCCTCGATGACGTCAGCGGTCCGGAGGCTGGACAGGGGGCAGCTCGACAGGCTGAGTTCTGTTAGGCGCGTCAAGGCGGTCAGGCAGGGCAGAGAACCCAGGGGGTTGTGGCTGGCGCGGAGGGCTTGCAGGTTTGTGAGGCTTTCCAGGCCTCTGAGCGAAGTGAGGGCGTTGCGCGCGACGTCGAGCAGTTCGAGGCGGGGCAGGGACTGCGTGTGCGAGCGGTTGGGGCG